CCTCGTATGAGTCCCTTCGCTGTATAAAAGGTTAAGCAATTCTATTATCAAATTCGAAAACCCGTCTTATTAGCCACTCAAACCCCCGGATAGGTGACAATACATAAGTGTTTGTTAATAGAGGGGACTTTGAAAAATATGTAGCTTTTGATACCATATTTTCTGTGAAGCTGAAGAACAAATGTGGCGGCTGGGTGAATTTTACATTTAACTTTCTGAGGTGAGGCATTTGACTCATCCTGGTAACGCGACAAGAAATTAATGGGTTCCTGATTAGGCGAAGCTGTTTATTGGATAAGTCGTTTACAATTATAATTACATTCACTCTGAAATAACGTCTTCAAGGCGATGCCACGTGACTAGTCTCTCGTCTTCTGGTTCTTGGCTGCGCTGGTCTCTTCCGCTCTCAGCTCTGCTCCGTTCGCCTCTGTTCTCTCTTCTGACCTCTTCTAAGTTCTTCTCTGTTCTGAACTTCGCTCTGTTCCGTTTGGTCTGTTATATTCTGCAGTCGGACGGCCTAGAAGACACCTTGAAGGGTTCCATTTCACATGTTCTATTTGCCGGTATCTAGTATATTCGTTGCCGCGGGAACTGCACTAGTTTTGGTTATTGACTTGCGTGGTAAAGTCTGTTGTGTACACGTAGTCGCGTGAACCTGTTTCATTGTCACCCCGACAACGATACAGAATGGTGGATACTGAACCGTTACCTAACAATGGACACCCGCTGTGATTTAGGTATTCTGTCTTTTAGGCGGCACGCCACAATACTTACCTGTCAACAGCTTTAGATTTTGTGACCATTCGGATCGTTGAGGTTACATCTGATAAATTTAACTTATTCCGAATACGTAAGTTCGAAATTATATACATACAATTGAATGATGTCTACAGCGTATGATCACTCATTCTGAGGATCAAATTAAGTGGAGATCAACATTATCTCCCCTCGCGTTTCCACAGCATGGTGCTTCAGCTCATGGAGAACTTTACTTATTGTGTTCCCAGCGGCACCCCACACATCACACTCGCTGTCGGCTCGTGAATTACGATTCGAGGTATCGATCGACGAGGTTCTTATTGGATACGAAGGATGGTCAGGTTACAGGCTGTCCTGACTGAGGTTTTGTGGATATCGGGGTAGATACTCTGCGACCGCTTCATTAAAGCTTTTCCGTAATTCCATCTACTCATGCCGTTGAGCGCTACATAGCTTCATCAATTTCAGACAGTCCCCTTAAATAACCCAAGGGTCTATATGATAACTTATGTAGTCCGATATTTATTATCTTTTATCATATACGTTCAATACAAATATATTTATCTTCATTCATATGCTTTGTGTACGTCACTGCTATGCAAATATGCCGTCCATCACAACGATTTTATGCTTTTAATATATAACTGATAGTTTCCAATTATTAAGAGTATAAAATTGGTAGGAGCCGGGGTAGCGCAATCGGTATAGCGACTGTCTATAGGCTGGACGACTGAGGGGTCTCAGTTCTAGTCTAGGTAGGATCAAGAATTTTCTCTTCTCCAAATCGTCCAAACCTGCTCTGGGGTCCACCCAGCCTCCTATCCAATGGGTACCGGGTGCCCTTTCGCTGGGGGTAAAGGGACAGGGGCATGAAGCTACTACTCACCTCCAGCTAGTGCCAAGGTCAAGAAAATGTGGATCTATATATCCACTCCCCCATACGCCTTTATGGAGTAGTGCTTAAATTCGTTGAACACAGTGACAACTTTACCTTTATAAAATTGTTTTTATCGACGGACATATTTATGTAGCAACAACATATTTAGTTTTTCTGTTTACCCGACATGTTCCGACTTAACTTAAACATTTTTGCATATTTCTAAACATTCTATGTTTAAGACTTTTTTTGTAATTCGTACAATCAGATTTGTAATGTACGATGTAAAAAAAAAAAAGAAATAAAGCTATCGCTGTAACAGGACTTCAAGGCCCATAGGATTGCGAGGCATCGAGGCTCCCACGTTTTCTCTAGATAACTGGCTCACAGATGGCGGTAAGGTTGTCAGCCTCACGCGCCGGCCGCCCTTTATCCCCNCCCCCCCTTTCTCCCCCCCCCCCCATCAGGAAGATTCCTGGCATTCATTTCTGTTAGAGGCTGAGTCGACCCCAGCGTCATAGTGCGACTGGAAGGTTTAGGTCAATTGAAAAATCCACCTCATCGGGACTCGAACCCGCTACCTTCCGGCTTGTAGCATAGTGCCAGAGCCAACTACGCTACCACGTCCCCCAGTGTATGTCGTACTTATATATTATTATGCAGATGGTTCTCGACAAAAATTGTAAGCCTCTGAAGTTTTCGAATCATTACAAGCACAGCAAAAAACTTGAACTAATATCCAGTTTGTAGTAAAAAATATACAAATATATCCGTGATAGGTGGAGAAACATATCGGGTTAATAGCAAGAGCCTTGTGGATTACAACGGTAAGCAGCTTAAACTCAAAATGTGATATTGACCGAACATATATTTGAATAGTTCTATCGTGTGCGGTATAATGCAGTATAGTCCCTTGAAAGTCAATTGTGGTTTCGGAGGAACATATCGCTTCCATCTACAAGGTGGAAGAATAAACCAAGCAAGAAACCAACATGAAGCAGCAAACTCTACTTGATACTTTGTCCCTGAAAGTGGAGGTGACTTGTTCCTCTGAAACTTCGGTTGACTTTCAAAGGACTACACTGCGTTATATCCAGAAGATAGAAATCTTCATAACCACCTCTGTGAGAAACCTTTTTTCGTGTAGGATACATTAATTATATCTAAATCCGTGGATTGGTTTACAGTGTGGAACATACGGACCAATAAATTCTCCAAATCGTTATAAAATCAAATAATCAGGAATTTATATGCCTAAACCTACTCTTAAGTGTTCGGTTTCTGGACATTAGAAATAGATGCTAATAAAAAGATGTTAAATTTGCCTTCTGTCCTTCATTTTTATCCCTTTCCTCTTTCCTTTCAGCTTCTAATGCATTATCTGCACTCTCTCACTGTGCAACCAACCTATTGCTAGCCCACAGATGAAGCCCCGACTGAAATACGGAGGATGTGACAATGTGCTGCTTGGTCAGAGCTATAGCGCACCTCTGGGGGTCATGATAAATGAGCATGGAACAGTGATGGAATGAAAATTAGCAGGGGAAAACCGAAAAAAAAAAGAACTCTGATGAGAAACCTACTGCAGTGCCAGTTCGTCCATCACCAGCCTCCGAGTGTCCGCGGTGTGAGAAGGCACCTAACCACCTGGTCTCTCTGGTGCATTGTTTTGACAAGAACAGAGTGAGTGCAGTTTTTGCAGAGATTGCAACAGAATACGTTTACCTAACGGACTGTCTTAATGGAACAGAGTCCTTCAGAAGCTGATAGTTCCTTAGGCAATCAAGAAACTCCTTTCCTTTAATGGAACTGGAGGTCAGGTATCGTGTTCAATTATTGCGAGCCAGACGAATTCACTCTACCCTACTAACTTATTTTATTCCGATGTATTTTAATATTATTCTTTTATCTACAGCTGGGGGGGGGG